TGTGTCAAGCTCAGGAATACTGGTAATTCTGAGCTATAGTGGTAATTCTGAGCTACTGGTAATTCTGAGCCAACGTCACGTTTATAAGTTTTTATGGCCGTTTCACAGTTCTGACGGGTCTTGACGTGGGCGAAACTATGTTGGTAAAAGCAATTCCATGCAACGCGAAAATTTCATCAGAAGTTTTTGCAGAGCTTTTGCAGTCAAAGCGTCTGTTTTGACGTTGCTTGCCCTCTGTCTGGAGGCCAAATTGTTGGCATGGGGGCAAATCTGGGTACCTATTTTCAGTATTTTGTAACGAAAGAACTTAAACCCTCCTAGGCCGAGAGAGGACGGCTGCCACCCATTCCCCACTTTACCCAAAAGCCATACACTTTTTTCGCGATTGCGTGGAAAGGTCTGGCCGCAGAGAGCTGAAAGTTGGCGAGCCTGACCGTTGGCTCAAGCCGGATCTTGTGACACCAACCACATTTCAGGGCATATTAGGTCACTGCCAAACAAGCCATATGTAAATGAAACTTTGCATTGTTCTGTTGTGTCGCAACTTCGGAACGCCCTCCGTGCCAGGATATCTTTCACAGAGAGATGAGACTTAGGTACATACATGACTTAGTAAACTCCTGAGCCCTCACAACTTCTACCAGTATCTCCGATTTTCCATGTAGGTCACCTGAGTTCGGGTCAGTCACGTCACCTCACCTTTATGCCCAAACCATGCCTAAGCCAATGGGGAAAATATGGAAAGATTTATTTTGGCGCTAGCCGCTAGGATTTATCTAAGCATACTTAAGAGATATCAAACGGATGGAGTCGTGATTTTATTCACTCACTGCAATGCCAGATGCTTAATGTTTGCGTTGTTGAATATGAACGACGTCATATGTGACGGCAATAAGGTCAACGAAGCTTTTTATCAATTACTTCCAATCAAATTGAGCTAGTGAACTTTCTGTCATCTTTTACTCCACGAATTATGCTTTTGTAAGAAAATCTCGAAGCAGAACTAGACTTCGGTGATGCGAACGTTTAGTCGCCCTCCTCCGCGGCAGAACGTGAAAAGCTAGATGGCGCAGGTTAAACGCCCTTTCTCTAACTGGTTATGGAATATTTTCTCTCGATTTTGCTAACCCTCTCGTTATCGTTTGTCGCAGCCAGAAAAAATGACATTCAACCGGCTTTGGACATGACGTACCCCTGGATCAGCCTTGTCGACAGTCAATCAATAATAAACAGGCAGTGGCACGCGATAGGGCTGCCTCCACTTCGGTTCGATTGTGTCAGCAGTTCGGCTCCCAGAGACAGCTTGTAGCCAGACAGTCGGCGCCCAAAAGTGACACTTACCGCCAGCGCCCATAAGGCCAGTTTTCCAGTGTCGGCGGACGGCCGATCGCCTCTGTTGCCGTTGCGACACGGCCGTCGGTGAAAGCTTCACCGCCGGGGGAATGCAGCGATACGAGCAGCCCGGTCGTGACACCATCATTTGGAGGATGGTGGTCTGAACTGGCCGCGCTTGCACCACCGCGTTTGTACCGTTACCGTGCACCCAGTGACCTAATATCTTCTTGGGCGTAAATGCATAGTGATAGTTAGTTACTAACGCTAAATCATTAATTCACCCCTGGCAAATTGGCCAGGTGAAACGTCGATCATCCTTTAAGATGGAGAGTAACGAATAAGTGAAGAGCAATGGAAATTTCAACATGAATATTTTAAATGGAATGATTCACCCGAGGCACACAGTGCTTGGTGGAATGTTTTGACTTAGAAACATCTGTTGCCTGTCAATGTATGTACCTAAGTGGCTGGATGAAGCTCCTGGCCAAAAAAAAAAAACTTCGGGCTTCTCTACCTGCTCCGTAAAGTGGAAGGTCTCCTGCCTGTGCTGGTCACTGGGCAGTAGTGTGCAATTGAATAGAAGCCGTGCTGAGTTAATCTTCCATTGATGCCGTGCTCATTCAATTGACCAACAAAAAGCCCGGTTCAAAATTACCGCGTCATCTAATAAGGAGCAATTAGGCAAACTACCCTGCCCGACAAAAAGCCCAATTAACTGAGGCGCCCTCACGAGGCCGTCCTTGCGATAATTGTGAGTAATGTGAGAATCAAGTTTGGTGTGAGTAAGGGGAGTGCGCACTGCGCAAGGGATCGTTTTAACCCGCGCACCGACGGGGGTCTGCGCCAACTTCGCACCGACGGGGGGGCGGATGACCGCCCCCCCCTGAGATCTCGAGAACGAAGCAAGATAGCGACAAGCGGTAAACGGCATCGGATACGCACGGCCAAGATCTACAATTTTTACTAAGGTCATTTTCAGGTCAGGTCAAAGATGACGTCACAGGGGTCGAAAAAGTCAAAATGGCGGCGCTAGATATGGAGAGAGTTTTTCTCGAATAACTCTCAAATTAGTCAAGATAGGAACAAACTAAGGGCATCATCGTGATCCTCTCGTCAATCCGCATCGAATGATATATATGTTGACCTCGAAAGGTCAAGGTCAAAGGTTGACCTCAGGTCACGTGACCTCGAGGTCATCATGTATATCATTCGATGCGTCTTGACGAGCTGAACACAATGAGACCATCCACGCGTCTGTATCTTGTTCCTGTACGGAGTTATTGGCCAAAAACCTTTGGTGACCTTTGATGACGTCACATGACCTCACAGCTGCCCAACAGCAAAACAGACCTCAAGGTAGTGAAGGTTGATCGTATATGAAGTCATGTATGGTATATGGGGCCATTCCGACCCGTTTTAGTGGTAAAAACAGGGAGTTGATTTTTCCCCCATTGACTTATAATGGGGAGGTCGCGAAATTGACCTGACCTTAGGTCACCGATATCAAAATTCCGAGATATACAAATTGTAGCTACTAATGACCTAATGATATCCTGCGACTTTCAAAAGCCTCCGACATCTACTGTAGCTTTGGCACGGTGACAAAGTTGCAAAAAAGTGACTTGAGGTTGGGTCATTCAAAGTGACCTGGTGACCTGACCTTAAAAGGTAGGAGGTTCAAACTTGCACACCATGTGTAAAATTGATGAGGTTATAGTCATACCAAATTTCGCGGCGCTACGCGCCGCGGTTTTCCCGCTATTCGCGAAAAACCTCAGGGGGGGCGGATATCCGCCCCCCCCCGTCGGTGCGCGGGTTAAGAAACTTTGATGTCGTTCAGTCCGTTCAGATATACCTAACGCGAAACTAAGGCGAAGACTGAAAGCAGCGCATTAAGAATCTATGGCTTTGGAATTGGGGGACTTTCGTGACATGCTCGGAGTCCGGCTACGGCGGCAGGCACAGGCCAGCCGTGGGGATTGGGCGGGGCCACCGTGTGACAACATGTGCATCAGAGCTATACCGATAGACGGAACTTGCGCATAATCGATCTACCGCACGAATTAAATGCACAGACAGAGATTTGTAGATCTGCGCGTCAAAGAAATGCCAGAAGAAGCTTTGTCCGGATACTCATTTGATGGTTCTCGCTTTGGTTCCGGACCTTTTCACACGTCAATCTGCATCAAAACTTGGGACTTTTGCCATAGCTTCATAGAATTTCTTTTAGTAAACTGAAGCGCCACAAGGATTGTATATACGTCGAAATGAGGTGATAAGCTCGCATAGAATGCTATTATATCGGCAATCTCGCAAGTTATCAAATAAGTGCAATTTGAACTGGTTGCTAGTTTTTGGTGACACCTTCTAAAAAAGTAAAGATGACACATGACCCAAATCTGACAGCTCAAGCCAACTTTTGTTGTAACGATTACTGCAATCAAGCAGGGAGAACATTGACGTCCAAGATAAGACTCAAGCTGTCAGTTGTCACCCAGATTATACATGCCTAGAAAGTTCCTAAATTACCTCGTTGTCTTTTACGTTCGGTGCTCTACATTTCATTAATAAATAAGCTTGCAATATTTATATATTCCCATTTCAGTGAGCCATGGAAGTTGGAACCATTCGCTGAGTTCAAACATTGATTAACGGTCATTTGCCTTCAGCACTTATGGCCCTTTCACACGTAGCAACTTTTCCGGTCGCCGGCGACGGCAACTGTCGCCGGCGATCGCCAGCGACCGGGGTCAGTCGCCGGCGATCGCCAGCGACCGGGGTCAGTCGCCGGCAACTCCGCAGTTGTCGATATCAGCTGACCAGTCGCCGGGGTGTGACGTAGCAGTCGTGTCAGCCAATCATTGAAGAGTTGTCGGCGTTGCCGAGAAAGTTCAATTTTTCCAACATTTTGAAGTCGCCGGCGACTGTTCTAGCCAGCCGCCGCTCAGCTGTCACGTGACCCGTTTGACCTTGAGTTGGCACCAGATATTGCGCTGCTGATACATGCAGCGGCGCAGCTTATTTTACTGCATTATTCAAGGTACTAAATATTTGGACATGTTTTGCAGGATGATAACTACCGTCTAGGTAATATTGGAATAATATTTATTAGATCTACGAGTATTATTGAAACAATACATAATATCAATGAAAATACAATCAAACTGCGATTCTTCTACATTGGAATTCAATGCACTCAAGCATAAAACTGAAAAGTGATGTGTACTTGCAGTTCCTCCATTTTTCCTAACGCATCAGCCAAGACTACGAGTGCTGCAGATTTTGCTCACCTGTCTTGTTTATTCAACTACAACCCTGTTCTCAATAAATGAATAACTTCGCTTTAACGACATTAGCATTGAAGGAATGGTTGGTGGTAAGCATGGGACAATCACAGTGATTTGTGGTCACACATTTGAACCGTGCTTTGTATGTGAAAAACAGAAAAAAGGCATTCTAGAAATGTAGCAGAAATTCAAATGCCAGAAACGGACCTGAGGAACGGCGAAGCCTACCACCCACATAAAACACAGGCTTTCATTATGTCAAAAACAGATGCTGTATTATCTAAAGCGCTGGATTGGGGAACACAAGTGTACCCCCCCCCCTTATAACAAAATGCATTTTTCCACACAGTGGATATCACTAAACATGGCGAGGTGACAGTATATGACACCATACGCGCGACCACATAAAAATGCAGCACGCGCGGACACGGGGCAAGGACGGTGGCACAATATGCCGATACCCAAGAAGACACAAGCCTAGGTCAAAGGTGACAATACTGTGACAGAAATATTAAAATCAGCCTGGACACAGCTCACTCTTCATGACCGTTTTTATCGAAAATAGACCAACAAAACACCAAGGCTCCTTCGTCCAAAACTCAAAACTCGACATGCCGCTCCAAAGGCCTTGCAAAACAGCGCACACCAACAACGCATAATAGCCAGCAACGCACACGACAGGATTTTCGAGGCCCGAGTCGTCAGCCGCCGCCGCCGCCGCCACCTCCCGGCAGCTGATTGCTGAGTGCCTTGCTCCGGCTTGCCGCACCGCCCACCGCCGCCGATCGTGGCGACCTCTTTACTCTGGCAGAATCGACCCTACCGAGCGGCGACAGCATTCAGAAGCAAAATGACAAATGAATTCACTGCACTTATGTCAGAAAATCGAATGCACATGCCATGGTCACATGCGGTGCCGTCCACGGGGCCGGCAGAAGCTGCACACTGTCACCGAACACCACCTGCACCTTGGACGCAGTATGTGAGGGCTTGGCGGACGCGCGCCGCCTCGCGTGCGGTATTGGCATCAAGGCCCGGACACGAGGGAGCACACTCGGCGCAATCAGAGCACACCGTCCGGGGCCGTCAGTGTCGATCTCCTGACCTCACAGAAAGTTGTGCAGCACACAGGTGAACGCCGTCAGTGTGGTGACTGGTGCGCAGCACACCGTCCCACGGAAGATCGTCTGTGGGCCGTGGTGCAGATGCTGTCTATAGGCAGAGTCAACAGTGCAGTGGCAGAAGTTGAACATTCAGCTGCTAGACTCCTTTTCGGGTCAGCAATGCCGTCGAGTTGGCCATCAGGTGGTGTTGCAGGATCATCAGGTACTCTTGATCAGGTACATCAGGTACAGAACCTCTTGACTCATCAGGTAACGCTGTGACTTGTCTGCCAGGCACAGAGGGCGGACATGTCAGAACATACTTCAAATACATTTTTAAAAATCATTTTTTAACCAAAAGCTCTGCAAATTAGGAAGCCTGGAATAGGCTATTGCTTAGCATCATAAAAACTACCCAAATACCCAAATCAGGTTAGGCCTGGTTTACCCAAATACCCAAATCAGGTTAGGTTTGGTTTTTACACTTCAGGCTAAAATGAGAACTATCTTAGCATCATTATCCTTGATGTAGCATTGTTGATGCTTTTTGTCTTGTACAATTGGCAATCAGTATTCAGTGACACAGAATTGGAATTTGTGGTTCAGAAACCTAGCATTATTTGAAATAATAGCATTTTAGCAGTGTTCATTCTTTTTGAAAGCAAGTGAAAGCAAGTTTTTAATATAATTTTCTAGGTAATTCATTTCCTACTGAATATGGTTATGAGACCATTGTTACTAATTTTGGTATTATTAAGGCAGCTGTAGCATGAGTGGGCATATGCTGTAGAGACTGGAGTGATTAAAGTCACTAGAGGCTTGAGGGTTTTTTTTTAGACATTATGCAGCAGCCTGGGGAGATATGCAGAGGCAAGTCTAGGCACCACCAGAAGGGGGACAAGCAGTCAGCACAACACACAGCAGGCACAAGGGGAGAAGATTGTAAAAACTATTGCCTGGATCCACCTCTGTGGACATCCTCAGGCATGCCTCTGTGGACATCTCCAGGCTGCTGCATGTAAAAAAGTATCAAGCCTCTAGTGACTTTTTCCACACTGCAGCAAATGCCCGCTTATTCTTGGTCTGCTCTACCTTCCTCCAATTATGAGTTTTGTGTGAAAACGACATTTTTACATTGGTGGAGCTTGTGTGCGCATGGTACACATAAGCCATGACGGCAGCATTGCTGCAATGAATAGGAAACAGCTCCAGGGCCAAAATACATACCACCTAATACCTTGCCAAAATACATGACATACCTACCACCTACTGTGCATAATGCAATTATTTATGTAGGGTAAGTGGCTCCTATCACGCACACCTAGTAGGAAAACTGCTTTTGAGACTTACTGAAACCTGTTTTGCTGACAAAATGGTCACAAGCAGTTTTCATAAGCATTTGCTTTCTTGATTTGACTTTTACGTTCCAGCGTTCCTTCATCATTTATGACATATAAGGCAAAACATCCACCAACGTCCGACGTGCGCTAATAGAGCACCGGTGCTCTTATGACGCACATTCAGCTGCCTCAAATGCGCACAAGAACAATTCCAACAGGTTTTAGGTTTAATAAACATGTCGAGGTATTGATCAAATCACTTTATTTTAAAGTTGAACACCATGAGCACATCATGAACTTTGAACTCGACACATCATGAAACACACCATGAACATGTACGCATCATGAACACATCATGAACTCGAAACCTTTTCATTGACTCAGTATCTACTGTCGGCAGAGGTCACAAGTGAAACTTGTCTGTTTTGTTTCAGCGTCAGTGCATGGCACGCATGCCCAGCCAGTGCACACTTGACATTGTATCCACTCTTCACACGATCGTGAGAACTTCATGCAGCAGTATATGCATGTCGTCTCACTTCCTGATGACTGGTCTTCATTGGGCTTTAGGTACCTGTTTTATTTTCACGTGTCCATGTTTGGCTGTTTTCTTTGTTTTTTCCTTGTTACCGTCGGACTCAAACAATGCCCTCTTTACCAGCACAGCATCTCTATTAACTGCCCTTCGCTTACCTTTGCTCTGCACGCGAGGGGTTGGCATCACGTCATGCAGACTTCTATCTAGTTCTTCGTCGTCCCGCATGGATACGGAGTCAGCACGAGATGTTCCATCGGCCGAGCTCCCGGGCCCGGCGTCACCAGCCGAGCGCCCGGGCCTGGCGTCACTTGCCGAGCGCCCGGGCCCGGCGTCACCTGCCGAGCTCCCGGGCCCGGCGTCACCAGCCGAGCGCCCGGGCCTGGCGTCACTTGCCGAGCGCCCGAGCCCGGCGTCACCTGCCGAGCTCCCGGGCCCGGCGTCACCAGCCGAGCGCCCGGGTCCGGCGTCACCAGTCGAGCGCCCGGGCCCGGCGTCACCTGCCGAGCTCCAGGGCCCGGCGTCACCTGCCGAGCTCCCGGGCCCGGCGTCACCAGCCGAGCGCCCGGGTCCGGCGTCACCAGCCGAGTGCCCGGGTCCGGCGTCACCAGCCGAGCTCCCGGGCCCGGCGTCACCAGTCGAACGCCCGGGCCCGGCTTCACATGCCGAGCGCCCGGGCCCGGCGTCACCTGCCGAGCTCCCGGGCCCGGCGTCACCAGCCGAGCGCCCGGGTCCGGCGTCACCAGCCGAGCGCCCGGGCCCGGCGTCACCTGCCGAGCTCCCGGGCCCGGCGTCACCAGTCGAGCGCCCGGGCCCGGCTTCACATGCCGAGCGCCCGGGCCTGGCGTCACCTGCCGAGCTCCCGGGCCCGGCGTCACCAGCCGAGCGCCCGGGCCCGGCGTCACCTGCCGAGCTCCCGGGCCCGGCGTCACCAACCGAGCGCCCGGGTCCGGCGTCACCTGCCGAGCGCCCGGGCCCGGCGTCCAGCTCCACCGCCGTTTTGCCAGCTCCACCGCCGGGAGTGGAGCTCAATGCCGCATTCTACACTGTGCCAATGCCTAACATGTCAATTCATCGTGATATAAGCTGCTCCTTGTAAGAAAGAAGGCTAGATAATCATCAGATGTACTGTGCGCATTTGCGGCACTGAAAGTGTGCGTCATTGCAGAACCAGTTGCCCTAAACACGCACACCTGACATTCAGCCCCCTCCCGTCAGCACTGACGCATTCTGGGTAAAGCATGCATGCCTAAACTGAGCCCCGTTGCATTGCCATCCGGTCAGTGCCCATCGATCTTTCCGGCCTATTCAGGTTTACGCGAGAAGTGCATGCGTCTTAAAACATGCATTATTGCTTCAGGCACTTTTTTGCTGAAGAAACATTGCACCTCAATCACAATATCCGCCATAACTACTCACCTTTTGAGCCGACAACACCCCACCGCCGTCCACACGCAGCACAAATGTCGCTGGAAGTGATTGACAGCTGATTTTTTCGTTCCTGGCTTCTGCTGAAGGAACTACATTAAAAAAAGTTCTTGGTGTGCGCTTTTAGGAAGTGTGCGTCATAGGAGCCACTTACCCTACTAATAAGCCATGGATTATCATTTGCCATGTATGCGAACCCAATGCGGATTAAGTTTGGCCTGGGTTGTTTATCCATGGTACCAAGGAAAACTCCAGCAGAAACAATAACAAAATTGCAAAGCTACCTGTTTGATTTTGATCATGCTAATTAATGAGCAGCAATATAATATTTTGTTGCTATCAAATATTTCCTTGTGTCGCACGAATACGTAGGCAAATAGCTGACTGATGGGTAGGCACTTTGTCCTCAAGGGCACTGATACTGAATGTAAACCATGTTCTTGTGACACAACAAGCAAGTTATCATTACCTTATGAAACTAGTGTCAATTTCAATGTCATTAAAATATTCAATTTTGATGAAAAAATACATATTTATCACAAATAAAAATCATGGGTGATCATGGGCAAGTGCGCCACAAATGACATAAACCCTCCAATATTGTCGAATCAAGCTTAAATTCAAGTCACAACAGCTTCACGACAGGCAAACTACAAGATAATAATCCCTATGCTACTGTGCAACAAATTTAAGGTAGCCACACCAACCAAAAATGCATCACAAATCACCTAAACCACTCACCAAGGACAAAACTGTCATGGCGGCGTCCGCTGCTCGAGAAGAGTCGCCGGCGACTGGCCTGTGACGCGGATCTGACGTCACCAGTTGCTGGCGATTGCCCGGCCGTGGCCCGGCGATCGCCACCGACTTGCTTACGTCATACCTACGTCACACACGATCGTTGGCTGGCGGTCGCTGGCGGTCGCCGGCGACTGCTGCTGTCGCCGGCGACTGAAAAGTTGCTACGTGTGAAAGGGCCATTAGAGTGCAATAGACTACAAAGTCATTCTCCCACCAGCTTTATCAACTATGCGGTAAGGCGTTTCATTGATCAAATAACTAACCATAAACACCACGGGCTATCTTTGGTGTATATTTCGAATGTGGAGACATGGCTTAAATATGGATGCGTCATCGTGCACATTTTTTGCGTTATAAAAAGTATCTCGGCAAACTTCTTGCCGGAAACGCATTCAACACACACCACCCACATTCAATCGTTACAGCTACAAATCGCTTTTGCCATAAAGAGCGCTGAAGAATGCATCAACAGGACATCCGATATTGTGTTAACATTGTGTTCACCAAAAATGCCATTGCACAAGGTGTGCTCACCCGACATATTGGGTTGAAAATGTCAAGTGACCGAATATAGGCGATTTGTCAGACCAGAAATATACTTCGAGTGGCTTTAGACTATCAAGTGCATTGCGCAGTCAGAAATGGGACGTCAGCAAAATGTGCTTGGCACTATTTTCACTCGATGAATGTTTGGCAACACATTGAACACGCATTTGTCTCAACAGTGCACAAATGACTTCATCCGCACGGTAACATTAGAAACCGAAAATACGCATCTTGGGACACAGCCTTTTCAATGTCACATTCATTGGACCTGATAGGCATATTTCTAATTATTATATGCATCATTCCTAGCACCAACGTCAGCCTTTAAAAGGTATCGGTGTAAGCGTGACCGAGTGTCTCTCAGGGTCCTTCCTCTTCCCAACGGTCCTCGTGAGGTCCTCCATGTGCTGGATTGAGGCCGACGTCAGTGCCGTCGGAGTCCGCAGCGGCGGTGCCGTGGTGCCCGCCGTCGGAGACGCCTTCTTGGCAGAGGCCCCCATCCTGGCCTCGGACTGACGCCGAAGCAGGGAAGGGTCCGACATCGGGTGGAACTCGTGGCCCTTGGGCAGCGGAGGGAACATGGGATGTGTGGGGAACATGTGAGATGGCGGTCTGACCATGCCGCCCTGGGCCATGGCCATGTGGGAAAACGTCAGGAGGTTCCGCATCGCCATGTCGTAGCTCAGGCGGCTGGCAAGGCTGGTGTCTACGTGCAGGGGAGGGCTGCAGAGACCACCGGGAGGGAAGTAGCAGGAGGCAGACTCCGGCATCGGAAGGGACATCGGCAGCGGTCGGTGCGGGGACATGGGCGACGGAACTGAGACCTGGGGCGTGGAAGGGTAAGGAGGCTTTGTGACATTCCCAGGATGTCTCCTTCCACTTTGCGGTGCCACCTTTCTCGGGATATTAGCCGCCTTGGGGTAAGAGGGAATGGGTTTCGTTGTTGTGGCACAAGTCTTCGCCTCAGAGGAATGCTTGGCTGGGGTTTGTGTTTGACCGGACGCATTAGAGGAAATCGCAGTGAGAGAGATGTGCTCCCGATTTGCGAGGCTATCAACGATGGAATGAATGTCCTGGCTCTTCCCAGCCTTCATTTTGGGCACACTTGACTTCGGTGATGCCACAGGCGAGCCGTACAGCATCGACGTGGAGTCGGCGGCGACAGTCTTCTTCGATGGATTGGAGAGATCCAGAGGAGTAGTCCCTCCGGCGGCATCTTGGCTGACTTTAGCGCGCTTGGATTGCACGGCAGGCTCCTCGCGGCTCCGCTTCAATGTAGCGCTTGGCTTTGTTTCAGCGACATGAGCATTGAGAGTACGATTCCTTTGCTCGGTCATAGCATGACCACGGTGGTGGCTCGGATTTGGGAGCTGGGTGAGCGACGGATTGGTAATGTTGTGAATAGTGTGCTGAACCTTTGGCACGTCCAACATCCTGTAGGACATTGTATTGGATTGGAGTGGCGGCGAGGGGATGTGGAGCTTCAGCGAGTAAGGCAAATTTGCCATACGTCCTGTTGAAGCCGGTCCTGCCTCCTTCCGCATGCCTTTGTCGCTGGCTTCTGAAGGCTTTGTGGAAGGTTTCAGCAAAAGCTCCTTCACGGTTGAAGTCGTTGATATCTTTGTGGCTGCTTGTAGCTGTGCACCACTATGGATGTGTTTGCTCGGAACTTTTTGACCCGCACCATTTAACAACGAGGGCGCTTGACCAGAACCGATGACAGAAGGAGTGGGGATAGTCGGTGACTGTGGAGTGCTGCTGTTAGCCCTGGGAGTATTCAAGCTCGGTCTGGCATTGAGCTCCTTCTCAAGGCCACCGTTGGACGTGTCGCACCGGCGTTCGTCTACTCCACTGTGGCATTGTGTCCGCCCCGATACCTCTCCATTGAATGGATAACGTGGAACGCTAAAGCTCATTGTGCCACTTGGGCTTGGGATCAAACCACCAACAGAGCTTTTGCTTGTAGCATGTCCATTGCATGGGACGCTTGGTTGATCTGGTGGTTTGCTGACGTTATTTTTGTTCAGCACGTTAGACTCACTTGTAACTGGAGCTCGCTCAGTCAGTTTGCTTTTGACTGGTGTTGCTGTTGAGTTACCAACAGTCTTTGTCGATTCTTTGTTTGGCACCTGATGTTTCGAACACGTCTGAATCTGGACCTCATCGTTCCGTTTTCTCGGCAAGTCATCCTCTTTAATAGTTTCCTGTGGTTTTCCATTCGAGATATTCGTTTCACCATTCTGCACCTTGGTCGTGTTCTTCTTTCCCTCTTCCACAGCCCGCTTCTCCGCTTCTTTGTCGGGTTTCCGCCTGGCGGCTTCCTCAGTCGAGCTCTGTGCTCCAGCTGCTCCCGACCTCGAACCTCCGTTCTGACATGCTACCACTTCTGTGCGTGCGACTGACGGACCCTCCTCCTCAGCATCCAGGCTAGCGATGATGTCTTGGACAACCCCAGGGGAAGTCGGGTCCTCATCGTCAGGGTCAAACATCGCTTCTGGGCGGACTACAACGGAAAGTGCTGGTGAAGTGTTCACTGATGTCAGTGAACCCGAAGAGGTGTGCTCGAGTGATGGCTTTACGGCGGCAGAACTGAAGACCGGTGAAGTGACTGCAGGCGCTGAAGGAACACTAGTCGCCGGCAGAGGAAGCTTGTCCGTAGGAGTTGGGGGAGGCATGGAACTGGACGCAGGTAGCAACTGCTTGTTCGCTGATAGAGGAGATGGCAACACGATCTTTGTGTTAGCAGGTGTCGTCTCTGTCTGACTATTTGCGAGGCAAGTCACGCCTCTGAGCGTAATGTCATTGGACAGTAAAGCCGACACTGTTTGATGCTTGGTAACTGAGTCTAGCAGTCGGGCATCCTGGGATGCTGAACTCAGAGCAGTCTGATCTGGTGATGATGCTTCCAGTCGGGGACACTTCACTGGAAGCGTTTCGCTCGGCTCTGCCGGCGCAGAGGGCCGTTTTCGTCCTCGAACCAGCCGGAACGATAAGTTCGTGATGTTCTGAAATGAGAAAAGACGACGTGGTTGTAACAGGATGGCAACATCGCAACCGGATACGGCTGCACTATGATAAATATCGTTAGGCTGCGGTGCACAAACCTTTAATTAAAATAGCTGCCACTATTTTCCTCGTGATAGTATCCATACCGCCATCAATGTGGCAGTCATTAGCCGACAACATAAACCGGCTTCACCACCTGCACGATACCCATACCACTCACTGTCCAAACAAGAAACCTGCTTATCTACAACCACGGCTTTCCCAAAAAGACAGTAACAGCAGAAACGCTACATGATCAAACGTTGCTCAAATTGTTTCGCCCAGCGCCTATCACAACATGAAATTGTTGATTACTTCAGGATAAGCTTCCGGGTTGGGAAAGTTACTCAAACTACCACAATACTGCTATCAACAATGCTGGCTGCAGTTTTCCTTACCTGACCGAGGTAGCCCATGTATCCAAGGTCCAGCAAAGTGACGTCATCAGGTAGAACGTGCCGTCCACTGATTAGCTGCACCTGAAAAAGGACAGAGCGTGCCAGTGACACCGGACGACCAGGGCGGATCGACACGGGATGCGATCCTCGCCATATGACGGTATCAGACACGGTGACGCCATCAGACGGAAGGGGTGAACAAAACTCTCATGGGAGATGACAGATTGCGACTTTCGACTACCCACTACTAATGCGGCCAGGATCTGAACTGTCAGGTCCTCACTGCCGGTTGTAATCCACTCTAGGAACATGGGGCTGGTGTCCATCGGACACCGTAACCTATACAGGGACCTACTATTGGTTGTCGCCACCGTCCATAACTTACTGCCGATCGTTGCTAATCGCTGTGATCGGCCGCGAAAGTTAAATACCCAGCAGTGCAAAGGGTAGGCGAGTACGGCCCGGAAGATTCAGCACTGCACCACTGCGCTGCAGCTCGGCAGGATTATCATTCACACGGCCGATTGTCGGCGGCGTGACGCGGCATGGTCGTGCAGCGGCGGCCTTGGCAGCCGGCGCGTGCACACCCTATTAGCTACGTTAGATGGTGACCATTGCTCTGCTTTGTTGGAGACCGGACTCGGACGGCTATCCTTCTCGTGGCCACAAAACCTGACATCTGCGCCATTTCGCGAATGAATCACAGGATGAATGAAGAAGTTTCTCGAGTTCGAGATATCCGTACCTGAATGCTAGGCGGCAGCTGATACTTGTTGCGGATGAGCTTCTGCAGCACGGTGAGGGGTGTACCGGCCTGGCAGCGCAGGTACCGGACCGGAGGTGCGCCACCTGGTACGCCAGCGGCTTTTGGGCTCTCCTCGTCGTCCCTGAAGAAAAGAAAACGTCATTGGAATTACCTGCGAACTTCACCGTTACAAATCAATGCTAGTTAGCGTCGCGAGGCCGTGGTTTCGCACGAGGCTCATGACACGGA